TCGAGTTCAAGGACAAAATTGCTATTTCAACCGCGTAACCACCTACCTGGTGTGCAGGTAGGTAAATTTTTACAAAATAAACTTTAAATGATATTACTGAACTCTTAAAAAAGTTACGTCGTATTAAAATGTGATAAATATTATATAAAAATCCTGCAACATGATATAATTATAATACTGTATCGCACATAACCGATTATTTGTACAAAGAAGGAGCACTTAATACTAAAAAACGTCAATTATCCTTCTGACAAGCAGAACTGGATGTTTTCAATGAGTAAAGTCGTCCGAAGCAGCAATACAAACCGTCTGCTGGTTTCCTGGCCCTGTTCGTTTTGCGCAATCGACCCGGTTCGAGCAAAAGGAGAATAAGGGGTGAAAGTAAGAAGCTGAGACTGGCCTAACAAGGTCCATAATACACGCCTGTCGTAAAACTTGCAAGCTGTTTGATCAATACTGATCATCTCCGGTCCGCCCATTCTCGCTGTGTCATCCGTCAGTCATGTACTGTCATCATCAAGAAATTAGTCTATTGAGATAGAAAAATCTACAATAGCTATTTTTGAAAATAATATTTTGAATTATGGACGTTCATCTTATAAGGAACGAAAAATGAACTCTACTGGTACCAATTTCTCCTTGAAAAGCTGAAAGAAAAGCCCGGTTCAATTTATAAAGGATAATCAACCAATTTAATGAATGCCTATAGAAAACAGTTTTCACCGATAAAAGTAAGGGGGAAAGACACCACTGACGTGAGTGACGGGAGGTCGTGAAAGGTGCATGAAAAATCGGTGTGACCCACGATAATGAACAGTTTCAATTGGTTTCCAGCGAATATCCTTTGCCGTACAAAAATAATATCCGACGGTCGATGTAGGGCATCGTTCGAAAACTATCTATAGTCCTATCATAGTCCTGAAATATCCTGGTCCGCCTATTCTCGCTGAATTGTCGGAGTATTGGGTCCTAATGATAAAGGGGACTAGCGTTAAAAACCAATCTGTGACTGAAAACTAATAATTAACTATTAATGAAAACTAACAAATATTTTAGAACTTGTCCTCTAAACACTGACAGTAATGATTATCAACATACATCCACTTCAATCTTCTGTTTCATATCCATGTCTGTTAAATGAAGGAAACCACTGCCTTGGTTAAGCCTACCTTTTATTCTCCGATAATTGTCGCAACTTAAACCTCAACTTACTAGGGTTTCGGTCATTAAACGGAAAAGAAATTATATTCTTGTGTGATTTCATCTTGATGTCTGTGCGCTGATGAACCGTGGTCGTTTATGGTCATCCTGGTCCGCCTAGTCTCGGCTGGTTTTGGTCTGTCGGTCGCGTTACGGCTTCTCGCCATATCGGTTATTTTGTCAATCATGCCGTTTCAAATCACTTCCAAAACGGCGAAGACGGATAGATCAAACTTACCAAGCGGAAATAACCAAACGTAAGACTGATTTTCGCTCCTTTTCCTAAGTACTTTTTTTTATAATCCTTACACAAGTTGATGACAAGTTCGTTCAATGTGACAGTGGAAAGGAGTTATAATAATCGTCTATTATTACAACTTCATAAAAGGAAAGATTTTTGACAAATCAGAAAACAATTAAAACCCAGAAAGTAGATATATCGTATCATATTATCAACGCCCCCTTAAGTGATAGCACCAATTTGGTTTACCAGGTTGATAACCGGAGCTTTTCTCCTAAATTCTGTGAAACCTTTAAACCATTTCGAATAAATATGAGATTTTTAAAACAATCAAGGTAGGCCATACCGATTATGGCAAGTAAAAGCATAGGTTTATAGGAAAATAACAGCAATTGTCGCCAACATAATTAACTGTCTCTACTTTATAACATCTAGATAAATTTTTGATATGCGGAAAAAAAGGCACTGGAAAACTTCAATGTTTTAAGACATTTTAGCATTTGAAGAACAGCTGAAGCTAATTAGTGTGGAATGAGACCATCTCTGGTCCGAGAGGTTGATGGACGATCATGACAATGATCGTTTGGCTAAGGACTCGTTAAGAATAGAATGAGGATTTGATGGTCAGCGTGTTAAAAGGGGAATCTCGCGTTATCCCCAAGACATGCACGTCTTCGGCAATGAACTCTAACAAAAATAACAAGGCAAAGTTTATGAAGTTCAATAGTATTAGTAACATAAAAATAATTAATTGTTAAATGAAAGCTAAAAGGATTTGCTGAAGAACTATGAAGGTAATTAGAATAATTATTACTATTATTTAAATGTATTTTAAAGATTCTATTACAATTTTATTTTCTTGAAAAAAAATTTTCATGCCCATCCCTAACCAGCCCTCTTTTCTTTTTGAACGATTGAAATTAATCCGATTATCCTTTTATAAACGGAGGATTATAAGACTCAAGTTTTAAAATCATGTAGCCTTTTTTTTTAAACATTGTAAACACTCTTGTTTACGCAGCTTGTCTGTAAAATTTTACATTTCTGAAATCACTCTAAATCAAAGCTTAAAAAATTGACCAAATCAATAATTGCAAATGGAATTTTTGTACGTGAGATGTAACCAAAAACCATCAATAACATTACGAAATTGCGCAATTAAAACAATCGTAAAGAGTTTTTGCCACCTGAAAGGGCAACTCATGTTAAAAATATACCATTTTTCTCTCAATACAGTCATAAAAAAATTTTCTAATAAAATAAACCCACTTCTGTTTTGACTACAAATGTGTAGGTATCTAACTTTTACCGTTTCGTTGTAATTATATTAATATTCTAGTGTTTACGTTTATTTTCAGTGTTTTTCTATGTTGTTTTAAAATTCATTAACATTTTTCTAACTAAAAATCAACTCGTGCACACTATCTCAACTTATTTGAGGCAGGCTTCACGTTAATGTTTAAAATGAATTTTTTTAATTTAAATTTTTAAGTTGTATTTTGTTCAATAAAGCAATAAATTTTTCTTAAAATTGATTCTTTTACCCAAGTATTAGACTGTACACTTGGTTGCAAACCAATTTTTGTGCAGTTATTTGTAAATCATTTTTAAAATTCAATATAACGCATTTTATTATCAAAAACATCACTCCTGCAGCCTATTACCAACTTTGGAAATTTAAAATGCCATTTTTTTGTCTTAAGTTTTAAATGTTAAGTTGTAAGTATGAGTTCAATACAGCAACAAAATATATGATATGATCTGCTCATGTGCTTAAGTTTAGGTACACGCATGTTGCAAATCGATTTTATTTGCTGAAAGTTATTTTTAAACGTTAAAATTCAGTTACACTCATATATTTATTTTTTATTTAAAACATTACCCACTTTTCTCTATATGAACTGTTTTTGAGGGAGCTAGCAGTGCAGAAATGTTTAAAATATACTTTAAGTTTAAAGATGTAAGTTTGTTCAGTACATCGATAAGGTCTGAAATGATTTATTCATAAAAATAGTTCTTATCATCAACTCAACAGTTGAAAATGATAATACTATTCACAAACTGTTTTTGGCAGTAATCCAGATTTCGAACATTAAAAAAAAGCAGTCGTGCAGTCACCTTTTCAGCCTGACGATGAGCCTGACTAGGTACACTTACATGCAAATACATGCATGCTACAAACTTTTATCTATAGCTTCTTTGAAAATTTAGTAACATGTATTTCGTATCTCTTACTAAATTCACCACTCCTCTATATAAACTGTTTTACAGATATGTTGTACATCAATTTTTGTGACTTTTCTTCTTCTTTTTATTTAGTTTCAATTGTATGTAATTGTAGCTTGCTTTTTTTTTTTTTTTTTTTTTAATTTAACATGATTCATTCATGTGCCCAAATAGCTGACTAATTTGTATTTATGCTACAAACTTTTATTACGACAAATAGCTTCTTTGAAAATTCAGTAACATGTATCACTATTTTTGATAACCGCATCCCTGATCTCGAACTCACAAGTGATATCCTGACGGTCGATTCATCATCCTTCTTTAATAACATGTACTAACTTTTATGAATAGCTTCTTTAAAAATTTAGTAGCATGTACATACTTATTTCTTACTAAAAGCTGAACTCCTACTCCGTACATGCTTGACGAGATGCACGTAAAATTTAAGATGTACTATTTTTGTTCAAATTGCATGTTGTTCAATACAGCTATAAAATGTACGACATGATTCATTCATGTATTTTTCTCTATATTTGCTTGCATGCTACAAAGTTTTGGCCATACCTCTTTCAAAATTTGTTAACATATATATACGTATTTCTTACTAAAAGCATAACTCCTAGTCTGAACATGTTTGAGGAACTTGCTCACAAAATTTAAGACGTACTTTTTTTGTTAGTTTCAACTTTCATGTTTTTGTTCAATACAGCTATAAAATGTCCGACAGGATTCTTTCATGTACCCAAGTAGTACGCTTGAACCGAACTTTTACAGTTTCTTTAAAATGGTCAGAAAATCGGTCTTTAGGACCTGATGAGATTTTTTTTCCCCCTTTCAACTGTGGAAAATCGGAAAATGCCTTCAAGTGGCGAAAATGCTGAGGACAAGTCGGTAGTACGCAGGGTTTGTAGGGCATCGATCTTTGAAAGGCGTGACGTCATCCGGGCAGAACGACCCCGACAAACTCGAAGAACCCAACAGAAATTTGTTGAAAAATTGAAAATGATTTTTTTTTTTTTACTTTTCGTGTGTTTGATTTAAGCATGTCTATTTATGAACTTTTACAGGATTTTTTTTTTGTTAAGTAAGTTGATTAAAATTTATAATAATTGCGGCGAAATTGTGATTTTTAAATGTGGTTTATGAAAGTAATGAGTGTCTTGAGATGTTACGATCTTCCAGTTCGCGAGATATCTGTAAGATCGTGCATGACAGATCCTGTTTGATCTTGCACATGCACCTCGCCTATCGCGATCTGAACTTTCGGCCGTATGTTTTTCGAATTCGATTTCTCGGTCTGTGGTAAAATCAAGAAAAAAAGAATCATACTCACAGTCCAAATGTTTCTTCTTGGGCCCGATGAGCTCTTCGGTGGTCGCCTTGCAGACGGACTTGGCGAGCCCTTGGCCTGCGATGCTGTGCCGCGCCGCGAGCAGCCTATCCGTCATAGTCTGCCCGGCCATTTTCACACTCATCGCTCGCGGTCGGGAAGTTAAACCGGGGAACGTGTACGAAGTGTCAGAGAAGATGAGGAGGGCGGAGATGCTCCTCCGGCCAGACCGGCTTCCCTCTCGCCTCTATCACAGTCACCGGGACGAACGGGACAGCACGGGAGAAACTCGCGCTTTGCAAACCGGGCGGCGAACGCTTTCCGCTCCTTCGGCAGGATCTACTCCTAGAAACGAAGAATTTTGAGGGTGCGACAGCCACCTTTACTCGCGGCTGTGAAGATGGCGACTGCTGCTCCTCATCTGGTCCGATTCCAGACTTGCCACTGCCGACTCGAACCGCCGAATCACCTCCCTAGCCTTCAGCCATTAATTATTTTTTTCATCCGTAAATTTCCACTATTCACCTCAAATATAAAACGTTAACGCTTCTAATCAGATCAACAATGACATGTAACTTAATTCAACTACGTTATTACATTGCGTTAAATTAGCTTAAAATTATGTGCGCTCTAGCGGAACTTAACATAACTAATAATAATGGAACAACGTACCATTATTCTTCCTAACAAAATTTATTTATTTACGATTTCTCAATTACTCAAATGTATACAATAAAAGTATTAAGGTTATAACAATACACAAATTTAGAAATATTTATAATAATAAAAAATAAAACAAACAGTTTAGAATGAATAGAAACAATTTGAAAATGCATTAACACTATATAATTATCTATTATTAATTATAATCAAATTTAGTGTTACTTATATTAATGATACAATATTTAATTTTTTAATAATAAAATTTGCTTAAACTGACATTAAATATATCTATATTTTCGAACGAGTTGAACAATTTGCCATAATTAGTTCTATTGCAGTTGATGGAGAATGTTATTTGACTTGAAACATGAAAGTTAATTCGGTTAAGCAGTAAAGGGCAATCAGTTAAGGAATGTAATAATTTATAAAATGATATACAATCACAGAATTTCTTTCTGTACAGAACAGTCGTTAATTTCAGATCCGACATTAACGATGAGTATCGTCTATCTCTGATTTTCCGATTTTTCTGTAATGTACCGGGCGTAAAAATATTTTTCGAACCGCTTGTATGTCCTACAGTGGAATGGTATAACATTTTAAGGGTAGCTGGATCATGGAAAAGTTTAGTATGCGAAGTAACATAAGTATTAACAATATGTTGCTGTGAATGTGTGTCTGCCAGTTTATCTGTCTGTCAATAATGATGGCAAGATAGGTAACATTTACACATCTAATTAGGAGCGAGTCTAATATAGCGTAGTTAAATTTGATAGGATATTTTGTTTTACGTAAAGCATAACTGGACATTTGTCAGAATTTAAAAGAATTTTATTAAGTGAACACCAAATGAAGTTTTACTAAGGCATGTTGAATTTGTAAGCAGTCAGAAACAGAAGTAATTTTTAGGAATATTTTTAAATCATCTGAAAAAAGTAAGGACATAATGATTGGAAGAGAATCAGAGATACCGTTTAGATAGATTTGAAACAGAAAAGGCCCTGAGGGCGATCCTTGAGGAACTCCAGAATTTGCTAGAAAACTATGCGACAATACTGATTTTTATTTTTCTTTAAGCATTCTTCTAAATAGTATGCAAATCAACATTAAAATCAAATTAAAAGCCATCCCAGTCATTTTGTTAAAAATAATAATATATTTTACGGATCAACCAACACCGACTTTCTTCAACCCCATAGGTAAAATGTCAGCGATTGAATAGTTCTCGTGATGCTGAGGGCAGTGTGCTCGCTCATCAGCCTTTTTCTTTTAGTCTGTTAGTGATGGAACCTCCCGACTGTTATCCCGAACTGTCTAAGGCTGTGAGTGTCTAGTACGATCTGGCGACGAAGGACGACGCTGTCGCCGATCTCAGTGAAGATGACGATGCCCTGCTGGTATTTCGACAAGAAAGAACTGCGGAACACGCCATCCGCCTCCGACGGGATCGACTACGAGACGGAACTGCGCTACAGACGAGAAGGCGCACGATTCATCATCGACACGGGCACCAAAATGGACCTCGGCTGCAACACGATCGCCACCGGCGTCGTCTACTTTCACAGGTTCTACATGTTCCACTCGTTCAGGAACTTCCCGAGATACGTAAGTTTTTCAAAAGAACCGAAGATCGTATTTTTTTTACCATTGAAATAAAAGTCCTCGATCATTCTTCGCTTGTTTTGCCCAGTCGCTTCTTTCATTTTAAAATCTGGCAAAACGGCAAAAATTGTGAGAACTACTGAAGTAATAATTGACATTAGGTTATAGTATAAACAACAACCCCATTGGAGGTAAACACTGAAAGGCCAAAAAAGTGGCTACCCTTAATATTTTTAATTATCTGTTAGTTTGGTACGCTTTAAAGGATTAGAAGTAAATAAAACATAAATAACATCTCCAGTTTGTGTTTACAATTGGATTTTATAAATAAGTCTTCGAATGGTCAATCTTCTTTGTTGGTTTTTCTGTAAAGCTTCTTTCTAACGTTCCAATGGTTTGAGTTTTTTTTAAATTGACCCATTTGTATGTTTCAAATTTGTTTGAGATTCAGCTAGAATCATATCGTTATATCGTTGTTGGACAGTAAAAGAAATATGTGGTACCGACACACTGGAGGTAACTCAAGACGGCCTCAGGTCGCCATTGTGTCATCTTAGAGATGGTCGTTTTATTGTTTTAAATATTCTTCGTATTCAACATTCTACTGATGTTGCAACAACTTCAAGAACTTAAAATGTCAATGTCATTTTATGCACGGTAAGGCGAAGACTTTCAGAAGCTGAATTATGGTGAGAAGGACTGCCACTGGTCCAGGACTTACAAGGCACAGAACAGCTCAGTTTAGTTTCGCAAGAAACCGCATCAATCAATCACAAGGTTGGACTTAAATCATGTTTTTGGATGCGTCAGGGTTTTGTTTGAGGTCTCTTGATGGCCGAGAGAGGATTTGTAGAAGGACAGGAGATTGATATATCCCCATTTTCACTCCGGAGAAGCTATGGTGGCAGTGGTGTGGGTGAGTTCAGAAATGGGCAGGCATTTCTATGGAAGCTCGCACAAACTTGATCTTCATCAAGGGTTCCCTACCTGCCGTGCGATAAATTGAAGATGTATTAGAAGAATTATGCCTTATATGCCACTAATTGACAATGGTTTTATTTGAAGGCATGACAAAGTGTTGGTGATTTGGAACGGGCTTCATTTCAACATTTTGAGTCGGACAGCTTATCAAACCTAAGAGTATTTCAAAAATATTTTTTAAACAGTTCGCATAATTCATAAGTTTTATATCTAGAGTTCAGTTGTTCAACATACCAATAAAAAATAATTAAAAGTGACATATTCAGTTCAACTAATCAAATATCTTGTATTAAGTAAAAATAAACTGTAATAAAAGTTATTAATCGATTTTTTTACATAATTTTACAACAATAAACTGTTTTTATACATACAGCAAATATAAACTAGTGCTATTGATAATTAATCTTCGATAATGTAAATCTTGGGAGTTGTCTGAAACGAAATAGAAAGACAAAAAATCAAATTAAACAATATTTATTGACCAATTGATGAATTGTAGGTTACTGCCTCGTGTTGTCTTTTCCTGGCTGGGAAAGTCGAGGAAACACCAAAAAAATGCTGGGATATTATAAGGACTGCTAAAAGTTTTCTAAGTGACCAGAAATTTGCAACATTTGGAGACGACCCGAAGGTAAATCATTGTAGTTTTTCCAATAGCAATTGCTACAATGTACCTTAAAAATTTAGTAAATTTATCCATAAATAAAAAAAAATAAAATAAAATAAAAAATCATGGTTTTGATTGCTGTGAGGTTATTGTATTAGTCTTCAAGTGGCATACAATCAAATAATTTTCTTTCACAGGAGGAGGTGATGACTTTAGAACGAATTTTATTGCAAACTATCAAATTTGATCTCCAGGTTGAGCATCCTTACCATTTCTTGCTCAAATACGCCAAATGCCTGAAAGGTGATAAGACTAAACTCCAGAAAATGGTTCAGATGGCATGGACCTTTGTAAACGACAGGTGAAGAGAAATTATGTGAAAGAAATAATCCAGTTTTGCTTTCTTTTAATGACTGGGTTTTAATTTTTGAAGTTTGTGCACAACTCTTTGCCTACAATGGGAGCCAGAGATAATAGCCGTCGCGCTCATGTACCTTGCTGGCAAATTGAGCAAGTTTGAAGCGCTTGATTGGTCTGGTCGCCAGCCAAAACATTTGCGATGGTGGGACATGTTTATCGAGGATGTTACCATGGATCTCCTCGAAGGTATTTTGTAAAAATTTGAAACGTTGCTGTTGTCAAAATTTGTCATGCACTTTTTATCAGTGATGTTCAGTCAGTTAGTTGAAAATTATGTTTTGAAATCTATGACATCCCTTTCTTCATGGACGTGAAGGTGTTTGACAACTTTTTATAGATATCTGCCACCAAGTACTTGACCTATACTCTCAGCCTCAGATGTCGAACCAGCCGGATTCGCCACCGAATTCCGCCAGAAGTGCTCCAGCAGAGCCAACGGTTGAACATTCACCGAATAGCATTGCAGCCATGCATCCGATACCGACGATTACTTGTAAGTAAAATTATTCTAAGATAAAAACCCAAGCTTTAAAAAAAAAAAAAAAAAAAAAAAAAAAAATTGGTTTTCGTTTTACAGCAGTAAAAGTGCCATTGAAGCAAGAGATAAAGTTACATCCCAATGGTGAAGTGGCCAAAGTTGTTGAAGTGCTTAAACCACCACCTCCACCGATGCCGATTGACCCAGCGTTCCAGTACCCTCCGCCTTATCCCCCTGCGCCTCCAGCACCTCCTGTTCAACTATATCCTCCCACTTACCCTCCACCCCCTGCGGCCGCAGCTTTCCCGGCAACATTCTTTCCACCTCCTGTATAAAACAGACTTAAAAGACTTGTGTTATTTTGTATATTGTTTATAAAGTTGTAAATAACCTATTAAAAATTATTTTTCTCAATGTGGTGTTTGTTAAATTTTAACACTTTCAATGCAGGTAACTTCCAACCCCTCTATCTGAGACGTTAAAGTTTTGTTTTCCAAGTTTTAATTAGAAATACTCTGCAATGAATACATCTTACTAGTTAGAAATAATTTATTATTGAAAAATGAACATCAGTAAATAGGCTTACTGAAGATTGATTACTGTTCATTTATGTACAGTACTGTTGATTCCTGAATGTGTGGGATGCTTTGATTCCGGCTACTTCATGAATATTTATGCACTTTGAAGCGGATAAGAAAACTGACAATTACCGGGCAAGGCGAGCACCGAATATTGTTGCTCGGTGAATCCTAGTCAGGATTCGGTGAATCCCTCATGTCAGGAGCCACCTTTAGATGGGATTCGTCAATTTTGTTAAAAACACAGACAATTACATTAAAAATTTCTTTAATGCATAAAATATTTATGATAAATAAATTTTTTGCCTAGTCATCATTAAGGCAGACATTTAGAATTCACAAGAAAGCTAATTTTTTGGTCTTTAGGTGTTAAAAAGGTCTTTCTGGTCAGTTTTTTTAAATTTTAAACTATTATATTTTATTGTCTTAAATGTAGGCATATAAACAAAATGTTATAAAAAAATAGACTAGACAATTTAAAAAATAATACAATTAATAAGTTAGTACAAAAATGACTGATAAAAATTAACAAAAAGAAGTTGAACAATTTAAAAACAATTCTTTGGCTTTTGAAGCAAATGAACAGAAATTGTATCGATTGAATTGAGATGATTAAAATTTTAAATGTCATCTATCAAAAATGCCCCTTGCAATGCAACATTTTTTCTATGTTGGCGAAAGACAACAAATGGCACTCCTTGTTAATTTTTTTAAAAGAAAAATTATTTTTTAATACTTTTTAAAATTTGATGCAGGCTTGTTTTCATGGGCCTGTAAACTTTATTTATTTAAAACTTAAAGTAGAAAAGCAGTTTAAGAGAATTATTACATATTTACAATAAATACACAATAGAAAAATATTTTTTCTGGAAGTATGGACTTAAAAATCAGAAGTGATGTTAATAATAAATTTAAGCCCATGCAATCTGGTACTGCTGCCATATTGAACAGTGTATAAATTATAAAAACAAACAGTAAATTGAGTATAAATATAAATGTACATGACGTTATAAATATGAAATATAAATACAAAATAATGATCTATTAGATAAATCATAAAAATAGCATTAAAAGGAGAAAACAATTTATAAACAATTTGTTAGGATAATAATATTAACAACACAATAAAGCACAATAAGAGAAAAATTGAAAAAGCTTGACAAAAATATTTTTACTTTGTACTCGTGAAAGACAATTTGAATTTCAACAATCCACTTTTCTCGTCGATTACAAATCTGAGCAATTAGAACAACCCGCTTTTATACTTGAAGATAAGGCACTCGGCCCGATTTGGCACTGGGGCAGGTGGGGCCGTTTTAAAGCTAAAACTGTAGACTGAAAGTCCACTTAAATACTTTTTTAAAAATTAAATATCCGATAATGAATCTACATAAAAATATTGATTAAAAAAAAGAAGATAATACAAAATTGTGTTAAATGAGCCTAGAATTCTTGAGGTAATAAATGAGCAGGCTGTGCACAAATCGGTACTGGGATATATTTTGAATCATGAGCATGCGCTGCAACCTCAACAGGTAGACTACTCGAGCGACATCCAGTTCCTAGAAAACAGAAATAAATATTTGAATATCAAAGACCACAAGAAAAATTAATTATATGGTCAACACAAGCTGTTGACTTTAACCTTTTCCAAATAAATACTGATTATTAATTCATTTAAGTTTAGTTTTAAGTTTTAAGTCAAGATTTCGCCCTGGCAAATGCTTTGGCCTACAGTTGCTGCGATGAAAAATCCGTTACACAGCCAAGTCCCAGGTGTGCTACGCTCTACCAACCTTGATCAGTTTAGGGCATCTGGACTGAAAAGAAGGTGGTCGACCGTGACATACGACAGCTAGAGATGTTCATTTTATTACTCTTAATGCACCACATAACTGTTAAGGTAAGTATGCACTGAGATTCTTTGAATCTGTGGAGAGTCTCAGCTGCGTCTAGCCTGAATCTGGGCTGCCCCGACTCATTGTTGTGATGAATAGTGTGTTGCAGGCTAGCATTTTCGGACTCTTTTGAATCCCATCCGATGCCGGATTCTTTGACTCAATGTTGCGCAACATTTGCCAGTGTGGACGTGAATCGGAACAAGCACTCTTGCTTCATTTGTTTAGTTGACGTTCTAGTGAGTGTTTTCTTGAAGATTTTGATAGTGTCTTGTATAAAGGTAAGTTGTGGAGAACCAAGTTGACTTTATAGTTAATTAGTTTATTGAAGGCATGCATTCCCATCGGTGTTTGTGGGATGTATCATTCACGACATGTGGCAGCTAATCTATTAGCTGGAAGATATATTCCCAAAATTTAGTATCTTTCTTGGAAATTTGACCACCAACTTTCATTAAAATGGTTTTGAAATCGGCCGGGGACATCCTCAAAAAATTTCTGTATCCTGCGCCATCATTTAATCTCAACGTGTCCAAAAGATTTTTCCCGTGCTGATTCCCGCCATGAAATATTTGTTGAACCCAGCATCTTTTTGGGCTTTTTTTTAATGCACTTCTGATTGGATGCAATGTAAAAAATAACAAGGGAAATTCCCGAGCTAGTTCCTCCGTCATTTTCGCAGGCACTGATGAATGTGAACTGAATCTTGGTCTGGACACGGTTCTTTGACGCGGAGCAGTCGGGGCTGCATCGGAACAATGAATCTATGCAGCCCCGACTCTGCCCTGCAACATGAATTGATTCAAAGAATCCCAGTGCGTTCTAGGCTTTAATTAATGGCTTCCTTGTAGTTTTGTCTGTAACGTAACTGACTAGTCCTGAATAGGCTAAGTAAAAGCATATAAATTGGTGAGCTCTGAAACAGTCATTAGAAGGCTAGAAAGCCTAGTCTCTAAACTTCTACATCAGGTTCTCTACTGCTGGAAAGACAATGAATAGAAATACAACTATTAATAAATCAGTACTTGAACAATGGGGGCTTTTCTCTTCACAGATGAATGCCGGTTTGTTTGTGGGAATCAGATGACTGGGAATGTGTGTGGAAAACGCTTTACTTCGTATGCCATGCGTGAATCACAGTCTTTTCAATGACAGTTAGTTGTGGTATAGGATGGAAAACAAAAACAAAAATATATTTTGAAAATTATTGTGAACGTAAAAACAAGGTAAAACTAACACTGAAGGCACTTGGCAGAGAAGAGGCAAAAAATCAGAAAGGGTAAATGATAGGGAATTGCATGGACAAGGTGGCATCCCCAATGAGAGAGTAGACGGAGACGAATGGTTTCCCAGAAAAAGGAATAGGTCGCAATTTCACAAAAGTTTGAGAGAGTGAAAGGCCAGATTTGAACAGAAGTGGATAAAAGATTTATTAGTTGATTATGGTGATGAAGGGAAGAGTTTGGAAGGTCTCCATTTACTACTGAGGTGCCCAATATATGCTGTGAATATCCAGCTAGGACTCTTTTAAGGCAAAAACCACAAGGATGAGATAATTCATCCCTGGGTCTAGAGAGTGTAGAAGCCCCAAATCTCCTCGCTACTTACAAAAACTTATAAATTGGTTGTTTTTAAAATTTATACCTGGTTATGGTCGTGAGTAAAAAGCAGCAGATCGCTAAGCATGGTGACAGCCGTTGGCCCGACGCCGCTGCTACAGTGGATGAGCACCGGAGGATTGCGGTTATGCCCTGCTGGTATCTCTGTAATGGTATGCTGCCGGACTGAACTGAGTTCTTCTAGGAAACCTATAAACCAAACAATGTAAAAATAGGACAATTCATCAATAAAAAAATAATTTATATTTTTAAAGAAAAACCCTGGTAGGATTAGCACAGGCAGTAATGTAATAACAAGGAGAAAATAGGAATGGTTTATTAAGAAATGAATATATAGATTCTTCAGAAATAATTTATGTTTAAGTGAAAGCTGAAAGTTTTGGAAAAGCTGGACGTGGTTAAAATGTTTTAGTAATTGTTTGGTCTTTTGGTCTGTCTACCTTTCCTGCTTTGGTTCTTGCTATCTTTAGTTTTCAACAGTCGGGTACGTCAGTGGCCACTTCGGTTTAAGCGCTGACATGGTGCTCAAATCCAGCAGCCCTGCATTTGAACCCGACATACAAATGGACTTTTTTCAAAAATACCGGCATCCCAAGGGTTCATATATTCTTGTAGTTGAAATGCCCTCTTAAAAAAAGTTTTTAATAATAATTTTGATTAAAATCCCCATTGAAGACAGCAAGAAGTCAAAATGCATCTGATGGGCCAAAATGAGTCATTGATTGGTGAAATGTTCAAAGAATAAAAAACTACAAGTTCACCGCAGCCCTCTAAGAGTTTATGGGTGAAAGTAAGGCAGGCGACAAAATCAGCAGTAGTGTTTGGATTAGCAAGGTTCCAATTAATAACCATTATTTTCTTTTTATGGCCTTCATTTTTACATTAAAAAAACTTGCTAGACCAAGTTTGGATTAGCGGGTCTTGACTGTAGAATTGTTGAAAATTTATAATTAAATGACTCAAAAATTATACCCAAAAAATGAGGAACTGTGTTCGGGCAGCCCTGGTGGCCCCACTCGGTATACTGCAGGTGCCAAACGCCTCGTGACGACCTCGAATCTACATGCTGTAGACGAAGCTTGCTTGTCGCACAATGCCCTGTTGCTTGTGAAAATTGAGAGAGCACTTCAAACTAGAAATTTACACTCGTCAGTTATTCTGAACAGGGCAAACAAAATTAAACATTGAAAATTTACATGTCCTGTGTGTAAAATCCTGTCGGATGTAGGCAAGTAGGGTGCGATTTCCTCACCCGGTGCCGGAAGCGAGATGACCAAGTATACTTCCGACTCCCAGACCATCTGCCAAAATGCACCGATTGTCGATGCCAAGGGGCTCTGTGCAGCAATGTAAAACCTCTGCTGGGAACCTACTGTAGCCTGAAATTTTAATATATTAATAATTTTTTAAATAATTTTGATAATAATTAACATACAGTTATATGTGAAGCATTTATATAACCATAACGGTTTTCTTTGCTCGGTGCTAATCGAACTCTATTGTCTTCATATGGCAAAACATCATTGAACCTAAAAAATCAATTTTCATGTCCGTGTTATTACCAATATAAAAAATTATTCAATATTGATAAGACAAACCTGTTCCTAGAAATATTTTCTGGCAGGGTTGCAGTTGTGAAATCACTGTTGTTTTTCTGTTTAGGAATTTTTTCATACTCAAAAAATAATTGTGTATCAGCAAGTTTTTTCTCAAGTAGCTGACACTAATATGAAAAATAAAAAAAAATAAATAAAAACTATTTGTCATAGCACAAATATACAAAAACAATGTACCATTGCTTCTTTAGAAATTGTAGTAGGAAGCGGGATCCTCGGTGCATCGCCTTGTTTTGGAAGAGTCGACTGCTTGCTCTTGCCTCCGCCAAGCAGTGTAGCCCATTTACGACCTTTGCTTTTATTTGTTTTGCCCAGCGTGCCACTTGTTGAACCATCACTACTCCTTGCTGATGAGTCTATAACAAAGTTTTAATCAATAAGAAATTAACTGTGAAATTTCTCCATGTTGGCTGCTAAGCAATATTGTTACAGATTATTTTGGTCCTATTCTTGCTGAGTTAGTCTGTCAGATATGTTTCGGAATCACACTGTTTCCCCTATTTTTTTTTTTTTTTTTTTAATTACAATAAACGGGGTTAAAATAAACTCTAAAGTCCACCCTCCCCAGCTTTCAAAGGTACTGTCAATGCAGACAATGTAAGGGTTAAGGTGGCCATTCACGATCACTCCAAATGGAACCGCGCCAAGTCGTACAGCTCCATTTGGAGTGCCTGAAATTTGAGGGGCATCCATGACCGCTCCACGGCCAGTCGCCCGAACGTCAACCAGTGAATTACCTTCTCTAATCTACTAACTATACTCTAACTACCTTCTTCTAAAATGTATGATGATCTCTTCTGCTACTCTTCTGTTTATTTACATATTAAAATCAAAAAATCGAAGAGAAAATGGTGTAAGAAGTGGCTCCTGAACAGAAGCCGTAATACCCATATTGATTTGATGAAAGAACTTTCCTTTGAACCCGCTGATTGGAGGAACTATTTAAGGATGGATGAAACGTCATTTATTCATTATATTTAGTGTTCTATTGACCAAATTACTTCTTTCAATTATTTAATCTTTTTTGTAAGGTTTTGGTTGAAATGAAAAAGCTAGTGCCACGAGCGGGATCTGAATCCATGGCCTTCGGGTAAATACGCCACTGCTCTACCACTTGAGCTATCGTGACTTCGATCCTCTCCGACACCAAAAAATGGCAAAAAGAGAGAAAATTCGAAAGGTTGTAGGTTGAGATGGGGAGTTGGTGCCCGAGTGGATGGAACTATCGAAGTCAGTATAGCTCAAGTGGTTAGCGCAGCGGCGTATTTAAACCGAATGTCGTGGATTCGAATCCCCTCGTGACACTATTTTTTCATTTCAACCAAAACCTTACAAAAAAAGATTAACGTCTTATTTATATTTACTCCAGCTTGTTACCCCCTTGATTAGAAAACAAAAGACAGTCATGAGAGAAATCATCACTACATGAAAGGTTGGCAACCACATTACGATTTCTCGCTACAGGGATGAACCAAAAAGAACTTAAGTTCTCTACTACGGTTTCTGATCATTGTTAGGGGTTATCAATACCTCATCTCTCATTGCAATTGTATCCTTTGTTTTGAAAACATCGACCAACTGGTTGAGGATCGAATTTCTTTTATTTCTATCGTGGTAATATAATCATTGTCCACCACTTTCATAAACATGGTAAACTTTCATACAATTCAATCACCTCAACAATAAAATCTCGATTGGATGTCATTACAAATAAAGAATAAACGTTTTGACTTTTTGAGAATGTACGACGGAGATGTTTGCTCAGTGACAGAAAGACGGAGACTGCGCCAAAAAAACGAGTTTTCCCATTCACGACCAGGCCACCACGCCAAAATCCCCACCCTCCACGCCAGATTTTCCCATTCACGAACGCGCCATGCCGTCGTCGCGCCGTAGATATTTGGAGTGGCACGATGGAGTTTGGACCGGTCGAATATTCGGCACAGCCAGGCACGCCAGTTCATTTTTGCCATTGACGTGGTTTTTGGAACGGCGTCGCTCCGTTTGGCCTGCTTGGAGCGATCGTGAATGGCCACCTTAAGAGTTGGTCAAATGTAGGCCGAGGGTTGGTTTTGTTTCAGTTGTTGAAAAATGGCAAAAAGGAGGGAAAATTCAAAAGGTGGGGTTGAGATGGGAAGTTGTGTCCGAGTGGATCGAGGTCACGATAGCTCAAGTGGTAGAGCAGCGGTGTATCTAGCCGAAGATCGTGGGATCGAATCCCGCTCGTGCCATTGACTTTTTCTCTCAACTAAAAGCCTTAATTAGTTGACAATTTTGAGCTGCAATAACGCCGACTTCAGTGTTGGGTCTCAGACCACAAACACATAGAAGAGAGGAAGATGAAATTTCAAATTATTTATTTGCAATTCAGTAAAATCGTACCGAATGAAACTTCAAGATGGGTTTTATCCACCGATTCCCTGTGGACTTGTGTGGCCGGCTGCTGGATCGGAGTCTGATTGTTGTTGTTATTATTATTGGTATTGTTGTTGTTAACTGTCACCTCTGGGATGACCCGCATCTCCGGTGCCGACTGAATGCTTGCGGCTCTGCTCCTCGGTTCGTTCCCTTCGGACACCCAAGGCAGCGGTACGTTCTCGTAAATCGGTTCGTTGACCCCTCCTGGATAAAAACCGCGTAAAACAAAGAGAAAAAAGTTGAAGCTTTTTGAAAATATTACCTTGCCTATGGTTGAAATTTTGCCTGATCGCAACCTGCGGACGCCCAGATGGTTGGAGGACAATCGGGTTGGCCCTGCCTATGTTGCCCATGTAGTATAGTATGTTATTCCCACCAACATCATCCAAATGCTTTTAACAATTTTTAATTAATTAGCACTATAAACCATTAGAACTTATAATTATTTTTCTTTTAAATTATTGAGTTCATATCTGTGGTCCCTACACCATGTTATTTTTAGTGTCATTAAGAATAATTGTGAGAAATATGGTTTATAAATGAGTAGGAGTCAAATACTATTTAAAATATTTTCTTAGAATATATAATTATTAATTGTAAATCTGTTGAATGCTTCCAACCAATTCCTTTTATAAGTTTTTTATGTCCAAGTTTATCTTAAGGTGATAAGGACTCACTTGCACTCGTATTCAATATGCTGTAAAATGGTGAGTAGATGGAGTTTAACGTAAGTAATCATGCTTATTAAAAGGTATTAAAATAATTCCCTCCCTCCCAAAGACCAAATATAAATCGTGCAAAATTAGTGTGGAGTCCATTTTTATGAAATTGTCAAATGCCGCCACCTAATTTTTTTTTTGTTTTGTTGCCTACTTGCTGGTCGACGAGGGCGGCAAGGTTGGCATACGTTCTGTGGGCCTGTGGGTTGGGAAGGAAGTACTGAGGCCCTCCGAGGCTGACCTGGCGGCCGCGCAAGCAAACCAGGTCAGGGCTCGAGCCGCTCACCTGTCGCCGAGGAAAATACGGGCAAATTATTCGAGGCATGCTTAAGGTCTGAGATATCTCACCTGCGCGCTTACGAAAGCGTGAGTCTGCTGGAGGGGCTGCGACGCCAGATCGGGAGTCGAGTTGCTGTTAGGTTTGTAAGGCGGAGGCGGCTTATAAAGTTGCATTACCACATTCCCATCCGCTGCATCTAATTCTGGCGTACTTGAAAATTTATAAAATCATCTTTAACTTTTCTGTTTGATCTTTTTATCTGTGTACTGTATACACGATTTTTAGATAAGCTGGTAGAGGAAATGGGGGAAAAAAGGCGTGCCACCTACTCTGTACATAAAAATAATCTATCTAATCTTCTCTTCCTTTTTAAATTTGAATCACATAACTAAGATAAATCAAAAATATTTAACAATTAAAAAATAACCTAATTTAAAAAAAAAAAAAAAAACATAAACGGCAGTTTCAAACTGTAATAATTAATTTAATTACCTATAAGTGTGAATTGTCTGGATGGTATGAGAAAGGTGGCTCTTTTCGGGCTGTTCTAGGTAAACTCTTTCCATTCCTGTTACATCAGGGAAGCGTTTGAACGCATTGCCATAGCCAGAATTCTATTTTATTAAAATAAAAATTATTTTCTGTCCACTTGTGGCAGATAATTTAAAAAAATATAAAAACCTCGTGGAGATTGGTTTGGTGTATTTCCGGCTGGCTGCTGTACATCATGGCATGGCCTCTATATTTGCTCTGAATTGCCGTTTCATAATCTGGCGCAGGGCGGTAAGAAGGTAACATCGCCCTGAAAAGAAAGAATTTTCAATTTATACAGTATTCACTGTGATCTTTGAAAATTAGGTGTACCTGAGTCTGTCCGCCTCGAGATGATTGGTGTGTGCGAGATCTAAGCATGATGTCGATTGAGCTTTTTGCATATCGACCAGACGATCCGGCACGTTGTCAACCCTGTCCAGCTCTTCATGACTACTTCCCAGTTGCCCATCCTAGAAAAATTGATCAATTTACATATTTATATTATAGATGGTTCAAATAAAATTTAACACACCTCATTAGCAAGCTGAGTAAACAAGCTTCTAACAACTTGCGCCGTATTGCCAGTTTCGTTAGCATTTGCATCATTCTGTCTAAAAAAGGTGTGCTAAAAAAAGTCACTTTAGTATCGTGAAACTGTTTCTTTCTATACATCAAACTTTACCTGATGTACACACATTCTCCAGATATATTTGGCAGTTTCTACATCAGGCAGTTGGTACTGGGTGGAGTCGGCTGGGTCCTGGCATTCCATACCGAAGTACCTTTTGTGGTTTACCACGTTTGTTATGTCTTTCCACTTGTAAAATTTCGACGGAGTGTTGTTCTCATACCTGATGACAATACCAGTAAGCGATACTCCAATTATCACTTCATTCCCACTGTCGTCCTACAAAGCAGAAAATAATGACAAATGTGCACTTATATATATTCAATTTTGAATTTTTTATCAATTTACCTTTGCAAGAAATGTCTCTTGCCCGTAGCCGTCAAGCTGTTGAACTGCAAGAATGTAATATTCTTCTGCAGTGCCTTGAGGGAGGCCGGCAAGAGCAGCATGTTGTAGAATTACTGCCTGCGTCAGGCTTTCCAGGTGTCCTTCCAGGTGCTAAATATTTTTTTTTTAATAATAAACAATTAAATCTCTATATTGAAAGAACAAACCTTAGGAAACAAGGCAAAATCTTTCAAATATTCAGCTGTGTGCCGTTCCAAGTCATGGTTCCCAAACTCCGCTGTAAAACTTTATTTTTAAAAACTGTCATTAAAAAAAAACGTTATAAAAACATTCACTACCTTGCATACAGTAGCTTGCAAGTTTGCTGGCCTGTTTTAAGTTGCAGTTTATACGGCCTTCGATGACATCTTTCTTCAGTTGGAGAAAATAATGGTACCTGGTCATTTCATCCTGTATAAGGCTGATACCGGAGACGTAATACATGACCCTGATGTACAGGTTGGAGTCTCGGGCGTACTTGTCCAACTGTTTTTTGAGCGGACGCTCCATTTCGACCCAACGAGGCGCATTGTGCCGGTTGACGTACCGCAGTCCGAAAAACTCGGGCTAAAGATTAATAGTGACATTTAGAGCGTAAATTTATCAAAGCAGGCTAGATTCTCAATAATTTTGAAATAACTGATGTGATCTTAAAGATTTTTGCTATATTTTTCTTATTAATTTTTTTTTTAAATGTTAAAATAGCAGTTTTAGCAGCAATATCCAATATTCTTGGTATTCCAATATGTTTGGATAAAGAGTGTAACAAAAGGCTCTTTGATATAAAAATAATAAATGAAATAACACAAATATTTCTTGGAATATCTGGTGAGCAATTACTTAAGATATACATTTCTAACTATAAATGGACTGGTTCAATAAAAAAAAAATTATAATAATATTTTTCAATTAATTAATCTTTATGTAAGGCATTGGTTGAAATGAAAAAGTTAGTGTCACAAGCGGGATGAATAATTTACCACACTAATTATTTCAATTATTCTTTTTATCTAAGATTTTTGGTTGAAATGAAAAAGCTAGTGTCACGAGCGAGATTCGAACCCATGATCTTCGGCTAAATATGCCGCTGCTCTAACCACTCGACCTATCGTGACTTCGATCCACTCAGACACAACTCCTCATCTCAACTGACAACCTTTCCAATTTCTCTCTTTGAGCCATATTTTCAAATGTCATCTAGTCAGGATTCAATTCTCAGTGACATATGAAGTGGCCACAGGGAGCTGTTAGTGAAGTAATTACTGCTTTTTTAATTTTAAATTAATTCATAATTGCTCATTGGCCATAATTGACCATATTAATTATTCCAATTAATTTTTCTTTTTATATAAGGGATTTGGCTGAGATGAAAAATTAGTGTCATGAGGGGATTCGAACCCACGACCTTTGGCTCGAATCCCGCTCGTGACAATAACTTTTTCATTTCGACCAATACCTTACATAAAGATTAATTAATTGAAAGAAGTTATTTGGTCAATCGGACCACAAAATATAACGGATTTAATTACAATAATGATAAATCGATAACTTTTTGTTTTTGCAGGATAATTTCACAGCCAATAATTTAAAATTACACCATAGGTAATAAAATATTTTTCAATAATTGTTCATTATTCTAGTTATCAAACTCATTGACACTCTTGTACGCAAATGAAAGAAACATTGAGGCCTGAGCATTGATGAGTCTATAATCGCAGATTTGACCGTTTTGAATCTTCTTGGTAATCCAGCTATTTTGTCCGTTAATAGTAAAACATAAGACATAAATTGTTTCAGTAGATTACTAAAAAAACAAATAATTCATAACCACGGCTGATGTTTTATTTTGTTTTGACTCATTGTTAGTAAACATCACCGATCGTGTCGATGCGTGTTCCATATGGCAGTAAAAAAATACGATAAGAGTGACCGATAAGTTGGTTGCTATCAGGGCAAAAGTCTGTTTACATCGATGATTACAGGCAATGTCAATAGAAGTAAAAAATTACAAGAATAAACTTGTTAATTAATAGCATATAGATAAAACAGGATAAATAGATGAATAAAATTTTAATGTGACAATAGCTTAAATCTTTGAACGCTTCCTCAGGATTTTGACAGTAAAATGCTATTTGAAATTAATGATTTTCTCTTTGTACAACCTCGATAAAAAAATTTAAATGCTATGATCAATACTATTTTTTTTTGTAAATTAATGGCTTGTGCCTACAAACTTAGCTAAGACAGAGTAATTATTAATTGACATAATTTTTTGGGAGAGGCATTCCCAGAGTGACAGTGGGAATTGAACCAACAACTATCAATTCCAGGAGTCAAGAGTCTGACTTTATAATCATTTGGCTACTCCAGTTCCAGGCTTTCTTCTTGAAAAGGAGAAAGAAACTGAAAGCAATCTGCCATAATGCATCCTTTATACGATGTTTAGTTTTTTGTTTTTTTTTTGGGGGGGGGGTTTACGCTGGCATATTACCCATGAAGTTTTCTTCTATTTTCATTTTACTGTCGAGCGTGATCGGCCGACCAGGGCTAGGTCCCCGCCGCGCGCCCGCACCACTCATTCAGCTCCATCATCTTCTAAATTTTCATGCTTGAAGATAATCAAAAAGAAACGTTTATCGACTTTAGAAATCCATAGATTATGTTGAAAGCTGATGGATTGTCGCTTATTAGGACAGATTCTAAGTTTATTGGTTTTGAAATGTTTAGGACTTTGCTCAGATTTTTTAATAGTTTGTCTCTTTCATTTCCATATTCTGGACATTCAAAAATTATGTGGGAAGGATTTGAAGGGCAATCGCAAGTGGGACAGTTCGGAGACGATGCCAAACCGATTCTCTTCTTGTAGCTACCGCATAGGCCATGATGTTTAGTTGAACAATGAAAATTAAAACTTATCAACTTGGCATTTACTATTTTAATTTTATTTATAGTTTCTTTATTCTTTATGTGTGGTGATTAGTGATCGTTAATCGACAATTATTCAGAAATCGTGAGATGCAGTCTGGTGTGATGTAGGTTTCAGAAAAACATTTTCTTTATCGTGCCAACGTTTCGATCTTTATTCAGATCATCTTCAGGGCCGGGGATTTACAAACATTGTTTACATTTAACATATACATTTACGATGTGGAAAAGAGAATTTATACAATGCAAAATATATTTTTTATATTCAATCACGTTGGCACGAAAAAAAAAAGTTTTTCTGAAACCTACATCACACCAGACCGCATCTCACGATTTCTGAATAATTATTTATTCTTTATATTAATAAAAAATAAATATTATGAAAAAATACGCTTAGCAGTACAATAGTAAAATTTGTTGTATAAAGTTAAAACTGTTGATCAAATCTAGCGCTCCTACTAAGCCAATATGCCCATAGAAAATAGATAGTAGAGACCTTTGGAAAAAAGGTGGCTACCAAAATATGGTACACAATGGATTGAAGAAGGGTGTAGGAAAGAGGAAAAAGGGCCATAATATTCCCTAGGAAAGCCCCTTGGACTAAACCCAACAAGATGAAATCCATGCAGTACAACTCTTAAAAGTTAAGAGTTAAAAGAGTTAATAAAAAAATATTATGAAAGGTGCACAGATTTATGTACTCTCAGACAATTTGTCTGGCAGTGCCTAAATTGCTTAATGGCTGTAGAAAAACACATTTACCTTAAAGAGGTTTCTGGGACATGAAGGTAAAGAAAGAAATGAACAGGCTGTCCATCTTGCTAAAAAAGATGCAGCCCTCTCACCCATGGAACCAGAACCACAACTAGGTCCTTAAGTTGGTACTGGAAAAATGGCTTGAAAACTAAAAACTCTCAAGCAATGGCCAAAAGCCTCAGGGCATAAAGTATCATGCTATTCTTGTGGTGACTATTGATTTTGTGTGAAATTATTAAACAACCGGTCGTTAAAAAAAAAAGCACACAAGCATACTATGACAAACTCAATAAATTCTTTGATGTCCAGTAAAACCTTTCCAGTATGCTTTTTTTAGGTTAAAGTTATAGGTAACAAGGTCAAGAGATAACGGCAGGATCCAAACTGCTCAGGAGGAAGTTTTTTTTTATAATAGTTTTTTCCTTTTTGAGTTCATAACAGAATGCAACCTGAGGTCAATTATTTTCTCAAAATTCTTGCTCAGTTAACACAACCTGCAGCTCAGAGGGTCTTTGCCCAGCTTGTGTATCATTATGATTTTAGAGGTTTTCCATTTTTTTGGAAAGTGTTGGGAAAATTAGTTAATTCTCGGCAAACAAATCAGCTCTGTTCTTTGCTACTGTAGTGGTACAGAGATTTAGCCAAATAAGCTATATTTGCTTAATGGTCATAATTTACCAGACTAATTATTCCAATTATTCTTTTTATTTAAGATTTTTGGTTGAAATGAAAAAGCTAGTGTCACGAGCAGGATGCAAACCTAGGACCTTCGGCTAAATACGCCGCTGCTGTAACCACTTGAGCTATCGTGACTTCGATCCACTCGGACACTAACTTCCCATCTCAACCCAACCTTTCGAATTTTCCCTCTTTGAGTGATATTTTCAAATGTCGTCTAATCAGGATTCAATTCTCAGTGACTTATGAAGTGACCAAAGGGAGCTGTTAGTGAAGTAATTACTGCTTTTTTCCCCTCATATTTGCTCAGTGGCCATAACTGACCATATTAATTATTACAATATTAATATTTCTTTTTATATAAGTTTTTGGCTGAGATGAAAAATTAGTGTCATGAGGGAATTCGAACCCACGAACTTTGGCTAAATACGCCGCTGCTCTAACCACTCAAGCTATCGTGACTTCGAACCACTCAGACACCGACTCATCATCTCAACCTACAACCATCTGAATTTTCCTCCTTTGAAAATATGGCAAAAAGAGGGAAAATTCAAACGGTTGTAGATTGACATGAGTTGATGTCCGAGTGGATCGATGTCACGATAGCTCCAGTGGTTAGTGTAGTGGCGTATTGAGCCAAAGGTCATGGGTTCAAATCCTGCTCATGACACTAATTTTCATCGCAGCCAAAAACCTTAGATAACAAGGAATAATTCTGAAATAAGTTTTTTTAAGTACTCTTTGAGATATTTTTAATACTTCTTCATTGGATTTTATGAAATGATCAAGTTGAAATAGTCGCATGAAAAGTGTTATGCATATCTTGGTATCCGTGATTGTTCAGGAATTTATGAAGAATGGACTATGTCATGTTCACAGAACAATTGCATAATGCATTTGCATAAAAATTGAGAAATGCCTGTGAACCAAAAAAAAAAAAAAAAAAAAAGGCACAAAATAGAATACTTTCTCTTGAAAATTCTTGCCTGTTGACAAAAATAATAAGTTTATCGACAAGATGAAGGACTCATCATCCGTTTATCGTGAATATCGAACGTTGAAATAATTTAAATTTAAAGGCAGGGTTTTTTTCTCGATAAGAGAAGGATTTTTTAGTGTGTTGATTTTCGTTGAGATACCTGCTGGAGTCCGAGCCGCTGGCAGACGTTGTCGAGGCATTCGCGTCCGACGCTCTCCGAAGAGAGTGTGCACTCGATGGTCGCGCCGTCGAGGAGCTCGACGCAGATGACGAAGAGCGACTTTGAGACGACGTTGTACTGCCTGCTCTTCTTCAAACGGAGCTTGAAAGGCATCTCAGGAGTTTCTCGTCTGCATTTCTACCGTATGAACGCTCCGAGGCACGGCTCCCGAGTTCCCACCGCCGGAGAACGGGCGCGATTACTCACCTGGAAAGTATTCGAAACGGGCCGAAGGTGGATTCCGAGTTTACGTCATTACTTTCTAAACGATCCCCCGTCCGACAATTGTCTTATTAGCCGTTTAACACATCGTTTAACACTTTAACACGTCCTGCTCGGCCGTTCTGACTAAACCCACTCTCTATCTTATAAAAAAAATATTAATACAAAACTACAACAAAAAATAATGCGACAAAACAAAAAAAAAACTGTACAGAAACCTCCTTGAAATCCTTCAAAATACGTCTCGAAGTGGGGCTTACGATATTAGACAACGTTACGATATTTTGTCATATCGAATCGTATCTTACGATCGCATCGATATCGAAGATTTGATCGTGCCTATCGAAACAAAGAAGGCTTTTATTCATAGAAATGATAAACGTGGGGTGAGTTTTTTATTTAATCCTTTTTAAAAATATAATTCTTCTTCACAGTCTGTTGTTTTCAACTATAAGGATTTCAAGCTTAAAGCTCTTCATCAGATTGAAAGCGACATCCCATTGAAAAGCTGGGTTTTATTACCGCTCAATTTTGAAAATAATTAATTGAAAGAAGTAATTTGGTCAATTAGACCACTAAACCATAATGGATTTGAAAATAATTTTAAATCAGTGATTAATTTGTATGTCGTTTTATTAAATAATTAAAATCAAAATAAAATTACCTGACTATAAAACATGAAACAAGCAAGAATTTCTGCTCTGGAAAAAACCAAAGTTTTGAGGTATAGTATTTGTAGGTTGATACAATATAGTGGTGTCTTTCGTGGTAGCTTGGACGTTCCTTCCTCAATCTAGTTTGGTGAGCTGAGTTCAATTTGCTAAGTGTTTTGAAGATTAGACAAGTCTGCTTGGTTTAGTTTTTTATCTCGGATTCCATATAGGGAAGTATTGGACTGATTCTCCTTAGAAACCTGCGATAACATGTAAAATTAAACATGGGTATAAATGCATAAATAATATAATAGATGTGTGTAATATTTAGTGATCATTAAGTAATGATTATTTAGAGATTTTGAGGTGCGGTCTGGTATGATTTTCTTTACCATGCCAACGTTTCAAGAACAACAAGAACATATACACAAACATATTCTACATAACAATCACTACCCTAGACACATAATCAACAGAACACTAACACTATCTACTATTACTAATAACACTACATCAATTCTATCATAAACCAACATATCCATTCCATTCGTTCACATTCTATCACACAAACTAAACACACCTCTCTCTCTCTCTGACAACCTTAAAATAGTTTTTAAAATCTATAAAACCATTCACACACTTTTTTCCAAAATTAAAGATCCCACAACAGTAATAAATAAGTCTGATGTAATTTATAAAATCAATTGTATAATTCCATGGCAACTTACATTGGAATTACATCTCAATATTTGGATAAGAGGGTAAAACAACAGTTCTATGATTAAAAAGAAAAACCCAAACAAAATCCTACAACACTGGCTACCCACCATTTTGAACACCTTCACAATCTTGATTTCAACAATCCAAAAATATTAAACATAGAACAAAACAAACATAAATGCAGAAATGGTTTACGTCAACAGAGATAAACACAGCATCAATTACAGAACAGACACATGCAAACTCAGATGCAGCTATTCAATATCAATAGCATACATATAACACACAGAACATATAATATAAAAAACAGTCATTAAAATCCACACATAAAACAATTTTATATAGTCTAAATTTCTAACTATTTGTCTCTCCTTTCCCTAATAATCCTGTCAGGCTAACCAGGCCAGAACGATAAACCATTACCCCTTTTTTCTATTGTCAGTCCCTTTCACCTCAAAGAAAAATGAATTTTTATCCCTACTTCCTTCTATCATTTATTATTTCCAAAATCTAATTATAATAGAAATTATTTAAAATTTAGTCCCATTACTACAATCACGAAAACGAGTAATAATCTTCCTTTACATTGTCAAATTTTTTATCTTTCCTTAAGATGATTTAAACATTTTTTAAAAATATTGATCATGGATATTGCATTTGATTTCTTTATATATTTCTGTTGTTTTCATTAAATTTTTACCTTTCCTTCTACCTCTTTTATATTGTTATACACATGTACATTATGACACAATACTTACAATATATTATTTGTGCTTGTTTTTTTGAATATGTCCACATTTTTAATTATTGTTATATGCATATTATTATTTATGTTGCAATTATTAATTATTACTTATATATATTATGCAAGTTATAAAGAGTCATATATTTGCTCGTAAACAAACCTTAAAAGAAATATAGTGGTTATTTTATCAGTTTTATTTAACTGATATTTAAATTGTTTATAACCTTGTGATTTACATTCTTTGTAAATGTATTATGTACATATAAATAAATTAACACAAAATAAAATAAATCACAAAAAATGAAGCCTGCACACGTGCCCCTTATGAAGACAAAAGTTGCTCGATGCGCCCTACATAAGTCATCCCATGCTTTGGCTCCCTGCAGAGAGTGTGTAGGCATGTCGCCGGATTTAAGAATCGCTCTCGAACACAGCAATCGGTTTCTGGGCCCCCTGTTCCGTTTTAAAAGACTTTTTTCACTGTAATCCTATGTGTTTTGTTTGAATGCATGTATTTATTAGTGTGAGTGGTGAGGGATTACAGTTGTGTACGTTTAATTGATGGCAAAATATTTATAAAAGTACACCATCAACCCTAATTTAGGTTAGATAATACTGTGTGTAAGTTGATGGAGGAATGGCCAGTATTCCACCGACTAATCAGCATGGTGCAATGCGTGAATGTATTTACAAGTATAAATGTATTTATTTGTGCAATTTGATTAATATTAGGTTAGATTATTGTTTGCATGGGTTTGGGGCTAAAATGACCTAGAAGTCAACAGCTCCCCTAACCCCTTAACGAGCACTCAGCATGGTAAAACAAAGGTGCTTACACTGGGAACTTAATGCAAAACCTACACTAATTGTGTTTACCAAGAAAAGAAACAGAAATGCAAGGCCTACTTCTTCACAATACTGCAGGTAAAAATGAAGTTAAATACCTAGGGATAATCTTAGATAAGAAATTAACCTAGATCCCTCGTCTACAGCGCATCATAACAAAAAGCAAAATTACACTAATGACTTCAAGAACAAATCTAGGTAAATCTTGGGGACTAAAACCAAAAATGGCCCATTGGCTAATGGCAGAAGTAAGGCATAAATTATCTTAAGGCTCACTAATCAGGTGGGCCAAAACTGAGCAAAACCAAGCTACCCTGACATAAGGCAGCATATAAACATTGGTAAACCTATGTTTCACAGGTCCCATGAATTTAACCTGTCAACGCAGTACAAACACTTTCAAGCATCCATTTGAAAGATTTGGATGAAGAGAAACAAGGAAAAGCTCGAAAAGGTTCCAGAAACAATAAATTGGATGGGAACAAAAAACTTCAAGTGCACAACAATAAACTCAGACATCCATTCTAAGAAATGGGGACTGACTACATGATCCCAGTAACACTCTACAGTCTACACCTCAGTAACACATCCTATAAAGACTTAACATACTACAAATGAGAAGAAAAATTCTGGAGAACACCAAAAGCAATGATATGGTATGCAGATGACTGCAAAACTCATGAAGGAACCGGATCAACATTTCAGACTATAACATGAACAATCAAACTTATTAAGGAAGTACATTTTGGTCTTTCAAGCTGAAATACCATCGGTGCTTGTGCTCTAGAAAATCTTAAAAGAGGTTAACACAATTAATGTAAAAAAGCACATCAAAACTAGTCAGTGAATACATCCAAAATCTCCAAAACCTGGGTATAAACAAAACCTGATGATATCTTGGGTACCAGAACACCGAGGTATTGTGGGTAATAAAAGGCAGACACACTGGCCAGAGGAGGATCTGCCAGACCACATATAGGCTCTGAACCTAATACTTGGAATAACAGTAATAAACTCAGAATATTCTTCACAGAATGGATCCAAAAAAGACAAAAGGAGAAGTGGATAAATTTTAGGGGCACTAAACACAGTGAACTTATGTTAAAATAAACCTCACCGAAACTGGCAAACTAACTGCTACAATTGAAGAGGGCCAAATGCAGGGCAATGATAGGATTATTTATCGGTCACTGGGATCTGAAAAAACATCTATACAACATGGGCATATTAAATGATAATCCCATTTGTAGATCATGCAACGAGGAGGAAGAAACACGGAGACATAATCTGGGTTACAAAGAAAACTCCAAGAATGGAATTGCAGCAACATCAATGAACTAGAACTTCTTAGAAGAAGGATCAAGTCGATTGCACTGGTCTAGGAAACTATAAACAAATTCCAACTTGAATTCTTTTAAAGTTTGTGACAATGAATTAAACTCCCTTATTCCATCCGCATAAGCAGACTAACTTTCTTGTTATGCTTCAGGTGATAATTTAGTGTCGAGTGTTATAATGATGTAAATCAAAAATTTTTACTAGAAATTCATTTACGTATTTCAGGTAATTATTATGGTATAAATTATTTATAAATATTACTGCTCTTAATTTAATTAAATTTTTAACATTTAAGCTTATTAATTATTTTAACATGGCATTAATATTTGTGTATCTATTACACCCAGTCATTGCTTTATTTTGTAATTTTTGGAGGTAATCTTTTTCCCCTTCTACTGTACAAATAATATTGGGTTGTCCGGAAAATAATGCAGGATTTTAAGTTTTCATTAAAAAAAATCTATATAAAATATTCTGTTTACGTTTACAGGATTACTCATTTGTTTACCTCTGTAGCATTCCGCTACTTGGAAATAATTCAGTCATCCTTATAATGTCAAAGCGAGAATTTCGTACGATTTTCTTTTACGAGTTTAAACTCGGCCGAAGCGGAGCCCAAACGGCTAGAAACATTAACCAAGTCTGGGGCGAGGGTTGTGTTAATGAGTGCACTGTGCAAAGGTGGTTTAAAAAATTTCGGGAGGGAGATTTCAGCCTTGAAGATGAAGAAGGTCGTGGAAGGCCTTCCTCTCTTAATGATGATGTTCTGCGATCAGTGGTGGAAGAAAACCCCAAAACAACTGTTCGAGAACTTGCAGAGCAACTCAAAGTCAGTAAAACGACCGTCGCTGACCACCTCAAGGCGATTGGAAAAGTGAAAAAACTCGAAAATTGGGTTCCACACTCATTAAACGATCGCCAAAAAAATCAGCGCTTTGATGTTTGTGCATCA